CTTCACTGGTGCTCACATTTAATCCACTGGGAATTGCATCTAGGTAGTGTTAGCATTAAGTGGAACACGATTTAATGGCCTATGAATTCTAGTCCCTATCCATAGAGCTACTGTCAGCCAATTTCATAGGCGAGATGCATATTTCCATCTACACCCTCCAACAAGAACTAGTAAAAGTGTTATACACTTAGGTATTCTGTTAATTAAAGTTAGAAAGCCATCACAGTAGTCATTTATATATGATGTAGAACATGACAAATACTGAAGGATAATCAGTAAATATTTTTTAAAGGTTATCACTTCTCTAAAAATATTGATCATATTTTTATTTATTTTATTACATAGCCTGATTCCACACATTATTTTGGTACAGCTCGTGATATCGGTAGTCCAAATTTAGCAGACCGACCAGTGATACTAGGTGTGCGTCGGCCAGGGATCGAACCCCGGACCATGTGCATGGTCGGCGAGCATACTAACCGCTGTGACACTGATGCACTTTTCATTTTATACAATGTGTAATTGTGTCGTATCAAGATTTTTAGAAGAATTTTTCCCTCGCCTGAAAGACATCATCATTCTTCTTCTTCTTATTATTATTATTATATCCTTTAATTCCTAGAGGAACATAGGGCTTCAGTTGCGCATCTCCATTGCCTTCGGTTTTCTGACAACTTTTTCACCCCGCTCCAAGTCTGCCCATATGCTTTCATCTCCTCCTCACATGACCCCCTCCAAGTCACCCTTGGACGACGAACTCTCCGCTTCTCTTTCGGGTTCCACTCGAGCGATGGCCTAGCGTTTGATGTCACTTGATGGTTTCCTCAGCGTATGGCCAATCCATCTCCATTTCTTCCTGCCTATTTGTTTCACAATCGTTCCTGGTTGGTTCGCTCATTGCCATAGATCCCTGTTGCTGATCTTTTCTGGCCGGCCATCTGATCTTGAGTATTGAGGGAAGACAACCGTTACTTGTTACTCTCATCATCCTTAGTACCTCTGTATTTCTATTGAAGAGTTTTTCTTTTGAAGTGTTATTATCTAATTATGAATTTATATATTTTTAAAAATTAAAGTAGCCTATATCATCACTCATTTTTATATTTGTTTGTTTTACCTAGTAGAGTAGCTATAAAGACAGTTTAAAATTCAATATATCATGTCACATGTTCAATTCTCCTTTCAATCATTTATCACTCTCGAATTGACCAAAAACAGTCAAATTAAATCACACTGAATAACCTTCACAGTTTAAGGTAAATGTACATTTCATTATTTTAATTTTCGATAAAAGAGCATGATGCAAAGGAAAATAACAACTCTAAAGTGTGAAGTCGTATCACATGTTTTTCTTTTTTAGAATAAAAAGGTGTCTACAAGGTAAATTATTGTACTGATATAATGACGAATATGTAAAGATATAACAAAATGATAGATGATGAGGTACAGCAATAAATAATGTCATATAGATACACACATTCAAGTGTTCAATTCTATTCAATTAATCAATTTCTAAGCGACTGTTAAAATGCATGAAATGAAGTGTTTACACAGGTTAACTTAATGACTTGAAGTTTTATTAATATTTTGCCATACTTTTTGAAGAGTACAGCTAATCAATACTGAAGTAGAGTTGCTAATAGTGTGATACACTTAAAGAAATTTCAAAAATCTATTCTCTCTATCTTCTATGCCCAAAAAATATCTCTTAAGATTTTAGAGTATACTTACTATTCAGGTATATAATGAGCAATGTATTTAAGGATGTAACATTATATATACATATAAATTTGTGGCAATGAGTAAATTTTCTTACACAAAGATTCTATGCCAAACTGTCAGAGTATAACTTAATGTTGTTTCAAGTACTAGATGGTCATTCACACGGGTCGATCAACTCAAACGTTCTTTACTTCAGTCATGTATGACACGAATTATATCACCAGATTTACATGACGGATAAACGGGATATTCCATCATATGAGTGTAAATTGGTCTCTTACACGTACAGAATATGATTTAAAAAAACATGTAGTCTATATGATACAATGCCCTGGAAATGTATATTAGCAAACAATTAAAGGAAATTATACTCAGCGCTGAATTACTGTCATTTATATACAGGAATGTCAAACATAGAGACTGATGAATACATCAAGAAACGTTGTGAGTAAGTTCCATCCCCTTGCATACTGTGTATTACTGTTATATTTATATACCTATTTAATATCAACTCTTATCTCAAATTAAAGTTTTAAATGGAAATCATCATTGTGTATGCTTTCCTTCTAGAAGTTGTTCTACCAGTTATAGCTGGATCTGAAAGTTCCAAACTTAGTAGCTTTTTGTCGGATGTTAGCCAGTGGTCTAATGTTAAATTCATCTAAATGTTAGACTATTAACTTCACTTTTAGGCATAAATGTGATCTGCAAGAGCTGATCTATCCTCTGACCTTTTTTGGTCATCCCATATCTTGTCAGTTACCAAGAAAACGTCCCATCTCACTTACTACATTAAGAAGTTAAAACAATCAGAAAGCACTCAACTCTGCATCTTAAGGCTCCCCCTTAATCCTTCATGAGCTACTCAAAAAGGACTCTGTCATATTACGAAGGGATATTAATGGTTGTCATTAGGGTAAAAGGTGTGCCAGTTTGTCAACTTGTTAATACTGTAGTCGACAGACACTTGAACTCATGTGAGAAATCGTTAAATTCAAACTGTTTGACTTACAACACCCCCTGTGTTCTTAGCTGACCACTTGTGTTTCGTTTCATCAGCCAACTAGAAATCATTACAGAAGATTATTTACTCGTATGACCAAATACAGAAACTCAATGGCGTTCTGTGTGACAGAGATAATGTTAAAAGCGAAACCTACGACTTATTACGTTATTAGCAAAATAATTGCTAAATAATTCCCTCCTATTTGTAATCTATGGAGACACAGTTTCAGTTAATTTTATTGTCTCTTCAAGCATCCAAAAAGCTGCTGTTATTAATTTTGTAATATTTATTTTTGTAAATTTTTGTTTTTGCTGTTGTCGAGTAAATTAGATGCTAAGTTACATGAAATGCCGAGAATTTCACATTGTATAATAAGTACTGTTTTGGGAATAAAGCAAATTGTTATTGAATATTATTCATACAATGACATTTTGTTTTGTCTAGGGATCGTATTTTAGGTAGTTAAAGTTTGCCATTACTATTATTGTTATTGTTATCGTTATTATTGAAAACAAAAACAGAATCATTCTTATCCTAGAACATGAAAGATAATTAATTATGGTCGATGACAAGATATGTATGACGAATAGTATTCAGTCGCCTTTTCGTTGTTTATAAAGGGAATAAACTGATCAAAATGCCTTTTGGGAAACGTACATCATTTCGCAATCAATAATACGGTATTCAGCAGTATAAATATTAAATATGTTCCATGGATAATTACTGAAGTTGGAGAATTTCATTATGAGTTGATATCAGTTAGAGAACCATTGGAAAACCAGCTGAGAGTACTGGACAGTAGTTACTTCACCCCAATTTCGGGCTCCTCATCAGTACGCACCTACACCACGAGGTTCGAAACCATGACCTTCTGGTTACAAGACTAGCGAGCTAGCTTGTAGACCATTAAGCTACTGGAACAAGATGCAGTGACCAGTCCATGATTTCAGCTTCTGCCAATTCACTACATAGTGCGACTACTTAGCAACGTCTTCTTTGAAGAGTTACTGCCTCACTCACAACCTGCTGTACCCTGCTGGTCATAGCTTCTCACTAGAACCCCAGGTTAACTGCCTGAACGTGGAAAACGCCTACCTCAAGAAAATATCCAACCAAGATGATAAAGTTATCAGGTTTATTTCTATCACATTAAGATCACCTTAGGTCTAGTTTTCCCAAACTTGTCTAACCTTATAGTTTCAGTTAATTTGCATTTGCCCTTGATCGATTATGTTGGACCAAAAATCTCGGTCTCTGCGGACATGTCATCTCCTAGTATGAAATGCTTCGACGACCTCTGAAGATTAGCAGGATGTTATTTTGCTAGGAGGCGACTAGCATTAGGATCTAGGATGTGCATTTCATCCTGTATGGAACTCATCAGTCACATATACTTTTATTCCTAGTAATGGTACTCCTACTAAGAATGGGACACCGTAGCACTCGTCTCAAATGCCAAAGCGTTACGCATTTAGCCAATAGACCACTTTATTTCAACAAACTACACGATAGGTTTATCTTAAAGAATGTATTTCAAATTCGTTTGTAGATAGACAGAATATGAATAGACTAGTAATAGGGGATTATCATTATTATTATTACCATTATTATTATAATCAAGAATAATCAAGTTTATTCTAAAATTATGTGTCTAACGCCAGAATGGCAGTAATCTATGCCCTATGATAGCCAAGTATTGAGAATGAAGTCTGAACATCACTCAAACTTGGTTATAAACAGAATAATCGATCGATATCTTGGAAAGTATTATTTGCTCACCATGACTTTCCAATGATGAGCAGTAAGTAGAACAACTAAATAGATGAATTGTTGTTATAAAAAAACGTCATTTGTAACTGAGTATATTAACAGGATGGAGTTATAGTGAGAAGTCGTGACCAGTGAGATCCAATTAGATGTCACATGTGTGGATGGATGTTCCACCAACGACAATGGTTGGGTCGCGTTAAATCACGAATTGGTAGAAGTTCGAATTTATGGAATGACAACTGAATCGGGTCCCAGTGGCTAAATGATGTACGAGTCAGCTTGCCTTGTAACCGGAAGGTCCTGGGTTCGACCCTGGCAGTGCGTGTGTACTGCCGATGATTCCCAAGCTAGGATGAAACAGCAGCTGTCCAGTACTCTCTGGTTTTCAGAGATTCCCTAACTGATATCAATCCGTGATCAACCCGTAAAAAATATAAATATATATTAACTGTAGTAAGAATATTATAATGTCAGCATGAGCAGTAATTATAATACAACTTACCAGTATGTGTTCTTTTATGAATTTTTAAATTTTCACTCCGTGCAAATACTTTCATACATCCAGTGAATGGACATGGGAAAGGTTTCTCACCGGTGTGTACACGTATATGATTCACTAGTTTATACTTTGCTTTAAATGGTTTCCCTTCTCGTACACAATCTTTCCAATAACATGTATGATCTAATTGTTCAGGTCCACCAACATGTTCCAGTGTAATATGATTAACTATTTCTGTAACAGAATCAAATACTCTTGAACATGGTTTTGGCAGTGAACCTGGTACAGTAGGCACTGGATCTACCCATTGACAATAATATAATTCACCTGTATTATTATTATTAGATGCATTTCTTCTTGTCTCACAAGTTGGTATAGATGTCAGTGTTGTGGAGGCAATCTGTTGACTAGTTGATAAACGATTATTGAGAAGGTTTGGAGGCATATTATACAAGCCAGTGCATATCGCTGAATTGATAGAATATGGCGGCATTAGAAAATTCTCCTCCCCTTCCTCCTCTGATGTATGATTATTTGTAGTATTGATTGGAGGTGAAATTGGTGTTGATGTTGTATAATTCGATTGTTGTTTAATTCGTCCTAATGTTTGATGATATAAATTATGATGAGTGTTACTCATACTAGTATTATTATTATTACGTGGTTAACTGTTTATCATTTAAATAACGATAAAGTTGAGCTGTATTCGTTGTTGAACCAGGGGATAAAGATGGTGGATGTGTAGAACCATATGGTAGAGGATAACATGAAGCAGCTGCAGCCATTGCTGCCATACTTGTAGGATATGAAGATAAAAAATTTGATGAATATTGTATACTGTTCATTGGCTGTGGCCATATATTTGATATAGAAGTATCACATGTAGTCACAGGAATTGAACTTTCGCCTAACTCTTCATTTATTCCAGGTGATGAAGTATACCGTTGAGGATATAAAAGTTTTAGCTGACTGGCGGTAATCGATTCCTTAGAAGATTGGGTTTGTGGTAATCGAGTGAACGGATGATATGAATCACTGTGGGCATAAAATTGTCAACACTGTGATTATTTGTTTGATTTGATAAATAGGACAGAGCACAGTTTAAATTCCCACGGTTATTATTACCATTGTTATTATAGGCGAGGGGGTATCAGCCATTACACTGGATGGTGGAGGCGAACTGGATGAATAGGGTGTAATGGCTGAGAAGGAATTATTGCCAATATCATTTACATTTTTAGATTCATTTAATGATCGATAATCGCCAATATTTGATACATTATTCGTTTGATGGCATGTTAAAGATGCAGAATCTAAGCATTGTTGAACTACTGATGTTGTTCTTGTATTCTGAGATAAGTGTTGTTGTTGTAAATGATTGTGCTGATGTTGACTAGGTGGTGGTGGGGGTGCCGGTGCTTGTAACGCTGAATCACTTGGATAATACTGGGAGTAGATCAATGGAGTACTGGATACATGGGAAGTTTGTGATCTTAATTGTGATTGTGACTGAGTAATTGTCCCAGGTGGTAATACATTGTATAATTGTGTATGCATGTTTTTTTGTATTATTTACTGTTATTATTATTGTTGTTATCTCTTATTGATTTCTTCTTGGGGGAGGGAAGTTAAAAAGTAATAGTACCAAAAATGTTCGATATAAACTGTCTGTCTTTATGTATATTTTGACCTGTTTTAGTTAATATGAAGAACGAAAAAAAAATATACTCAGTTGGAATTGTATTCAATTAGTATTAATTCTGTAGGAAACATGTTAGGGTCTTTTGGAACCCTACTGGATGATCGACAGGTTGTCTAATATGATGATGAAATAGAGGTCATAAATTATTATTATGAATTGTTTGCCTGAATTTAATGCCTCCACGTGGTTTCTTCACTGTTGGTAATTTCACATATACGGTATTCAATATTTCAAGCGGGAAATATTTTTCACAAGATAGTTAGTTGACAAAGCCTTGACGACAGTAAAATCAAGTGTGTAAGTTACTCACCAGGACGTATGTAGTACACTCTATGGAAAATATTCAACTACGTCTTGATGCCCCCTTACCGTGCCAACAGAGAGATACAGTAGTAGCAGTAGTAGTACACTGTCCGGAGGTTGAATTGCACGCTGAGTGATGACACTTTACAAATGGTCAGCTTTATTCCCTGCTGCGTCTGACACTAACAGATTTATCAGTTCAGTAATGCGTATATAAATTTGACTTCGTGCAATCGAATATTTGTGTTACCTGTCTATCAGGTAGCAGCCATATTTGATTCGAATTCTGATATGCGATAGGTTGAAAAAATAAATGTTAACCACCTACTACCATTAGAAGAAGATAACGAATTGTTAAGGTGTCCCAAATGAATCGGAGGTTGTGTTGTGTGTGTGTGTGACCACCTACAGTGAACATAATTAAGGGGTAGAGAGAATTCAGACTATATAGGCAACAGTAGGTTATTCTTTTTTTTTGGTGTGTTGCTAGTACTTATTAACCGTAAAATATCATAAAATGATTGGCAGGAGTGTATGGTTGCCTAATAGGGTGAAGCGCAGCATAAAGGCTGTAAACTAAGGGTTAGAAAACTGTAAATTTATATTCGACGCTTTGATTGGTTACAAAACCTTTCTATGCTATTGGTAAATTGTGAGTGTTTTGAATTTTGATTGGTTGAAAAATAATTTACCCTAATAGAATCTTCATCTACTAAATATCAAGTAGGTAGAGAAATTTCATGTTGTCTTATACAGAATAAATTCTTTTGATCATATATTGACGTAAATTATTTTGCTTATATGACTCTTCATGTATAGCCAATCTGTTGAATATTGCACGTCATTTTAAGTCATGGAATGACAGAAATCAGAATTCATGGACATTGGGCCTCGGCCCAAGTGGCTGGATGGTTGATATGTTCGATCTTGTAACCTAAGGGTTGTGGGTTTTTATGGGAGCGAAATGCTGAGAAGTTATAAACTAGGACGAAACACTTGCCCAGCACTCACTTGTTTTCAGTGGTTCTCTAACTGACATCAGTCCATGATTAAACTTAAAATTAAATAACTAGTCCCACATACTGGATGACGGGTGTGTATAGATGTGAAGTAGGTTTAGCTGGATAAAAGTACATTCCATTAATTAAAAGTTATCACTGAGAGGCGAGTTCGTGAAAGCCACTGATTTGTAATATTATAGGATTATGTACATGTTTACATAAATACCAAGCTTCATTCTCCATTATTTATTTGCGTTTTCAATTTCTCACTGTTTTTCTTTGTAGATTGAATGAATCGGTCTCCATTGGCTTCCAAGATAGATGCCTCTATAGACTTATTTTTATATTTCTTCAGATGGTTTCCACTTTCATACAGGTTACCACTTAGTAACACTATATTATGTTATTATTTTCTAGGATTCCGAGTGGGACATAGGGCCTCACATTCTGTTTTCTGAAGTCCTTTTTTCAGGTTGCTCCACGATTCCTCATAACCCATCGTTTTCTACTCACACCATCTTCTCCATTTCACGCCTAGGTCCTTGCTCAACCATCGTTTTCCATTCAGGCTTCACTTGAGGGCTTGGCACGTGAACTTACCGAACGATCTCAGAGTATGTTTGGCCTATCTTCACTTTCTTTTGCATATTTGTTGGGCAATAGATTATTGGATGTTTCCTTGCTGCAGCTCCTAGTTGCTTATCATTTCCACTCATCAATTCTTCATCGTCTAACCTCTGGAGAGTACAGGAAAAAGAGTGCGTTGGGTGTGAGACTGGCAATCCCAGCCAGCAAAAGCAAAACCATCATTACTAAAACTTCGAAGTCTTGTGTCTCATTTGAAGTGCAAAAAAATTATTTATTATTATTTAATTGAATTTTTGATTTTCCCGTCGATTGATTGGACCGAAGTGCTCCATCTCAGGTTGACATGTCGACTTCTTGTGCAAGTGCTTCGACAATGTCTGAGACCGAGCACTTCTGTCCAGTCAGTCGACGAGAAATTATAAAATTCGATTAAATAATTAATATGACCCGTTCCACAAGAGGTGGCTCTCGTGGCCCAAGTGGTCTAGTGGATAACGCTTTGGCGTTTGAAACTATGGCACTGGTTTCGAGCCTTGGTGGAACATCATCACTCAGTGCGGAATGCAGATACGTCCAGACGACGAGTCCCAAATAGGACGAAATGCGTGTTGTCCTGGATTCCACTGCTAGTCACCATCCCCCAGTTAAATTCACAAGAATATGTATGCCCTAACTAGTTCTAATTCACTTGTCCAATAGTTCATTTATAAACATTTAAGTGAAGTAGAGAAGAAAACACACATGATTTAGTGAAGAGACTTTCTCCAGTGAAACTTCGTATGAATCTAGTGAAATGATATGAGTAATTTAGACTGTGTAGGTGTACCGTCTACATTTGTGATTTTAAGTGAATAAACTGTTAGCTTATGAAATCCCTGATAAACTTAAACAATATTCATTCCAAGTGATTGAAGATGCCCATTAAATTTTTTAAAAAAAAGGTTACTGAACAAAGAATATTCTTTTCGATAACCTCCCCTTCATCAGGTTCTACAGTTATATATACACATTATAGTGAGTGAATGAATTAGTGTTATGAACAACATTAATGCTGTCTAAATAATATCGAATCAATAATAATATTAATGGATTACAATTCGACAGCATTAACATAACAATACACTGAATATCAGAAAAAATAGGAAAGATAATAATACAAATTCATGAATTTATAGTCTCCACTGAAGGCCGGCTAGGGCAGTAGTAGTGGCTGGCGAATCGCAATACCCTCTGCTGTTTGGAGTATGCTACCTCGATGTTTTTGGTAATTTATTTGGTATTCAATAGACGGTGGAGGAGGACTCTTCAATACTGACTTTGTGGCCGGTTTGGACCAGGTGTCCAATATCGAGCTGTTGATGCTTCCACTTACACCTTTATTTAATCACACTGGTAGACGTTCCCGAGCACGGAAAATCGGGTTCTTAGAGTAACGGCCAATATAACTCGTTCCACAAGCTCAGCTGTATTGGTAGTTATAATTAGAAGTGGCTAGTGTAGGTACTTCACCTTTCAATTGGGGAATCACCACTGGTCATTCAATCCATTTTATAACTTCTGTTGTCAGACGTTACAAAGCAACTAACTGACCATTAAGTTTCATTATGAATGAATTTTTAATGAGAATGGATCCTGAAAGAGTTAATAATAAAATAAAAGGCTGTAAAACTTCTAAGTAATTAAATTACACATGGAGTCAATAAAAATTCATTCAATGCAACTTTAAAATATCAATATTTTTATTTTATTTTATTTTTTTAATTTTTGGTTACAGCTTGATTCCACACTGTATTTTTGGTACAAGTGTGGAATTTTCAGCATGGATATCGGTAGCCCAAAATCTGAAGGCCGACCATAGGTATCAGGTGTGCGTCGGCGTGGGCTCGAACCCCGGACCATGTGCATGGTCGGCGAGAGTCCTAACCACTGTACCACCGACGCACAAAGAGACCTTGACAATATCAGTGCTGTTGTTTTTACTGGGGGTGGGGTTGACAAACTTACATTCAATCTTCACTCAATTTTTGACTTGTTATTTGTTAACAAACCAGAAGAAGTTTAAGAATACGTCTACCAGAAATCCAACCTGGACCTCCCTCGAGGATTCTCAGGTAACTACATCAAGCTGTTTGACATAAAACATTTTAAACAATAATCAAATTGGCCAACATTAGAGATGTTAATAGGAAAAATGGAAACATTAAACTATCCTTTAGAAGGACAGAGCAACAAAGATTCAGTAGATTCGACGAAGTCGACTGGAAAAGTCTTTTACGGTCAATCACATGTTTCTCTCTCTCGCTATATATATATATGGGAGTCATTATTCACTTGGGCTCTCAGTGGAGCATACGGCTTCAACGACACATCTCCACCTTGTTCTATTTTCTGCTGTCCTCTTCATCTGGGTTCACAATTGACCGTAATCTCTCCATCTCCTCCTCGCCACACCATCTCCTCCATGTCACCCTCAAAGTGATGACCCAGTCATAGCTTCCCATTTCGACTCTACTCGAGCAATGGCTTGCATTGCGCGTGATGTTATTCAACGTCCTACTCAGCACATGCCCAATCCAGGAGGATTAATTTTTTATGGATTGAAGTTGGTCTAAAAATATATTGTTTAATACATCCTACGTTCTTTGAGTTCACTTCCATAGAAGGATTGAGTACAACATTTATTGAAATCCGTCCAATATATAGTGTTTTAGTGGTTCAGTAGTAGAATGCTTGCCAGGTTAACAATCCCACCCCATGAAAAATAAACCCCACCACTACTGAAAGCTTAAAGTTCTATGTTGAACTCAGAACTCAAGGAATGAAGAGAAATTACATCAATAGAAGTGTTAGTGATAAACTGCAATATGTATGAGATGAAGTCTGCTTTTTTTGATATAATAAATTAAATATTTAGTGTTTTAGACCGTCTGTCTTTCTCATTTTTGCCAAATGCAAACTAATAT